CATTTCTATTATCTCCCAGGTCTGTCACTGCTGGTGTCCGCCCTTTTCCGTTGGCCATGCAGCATTTCTATTCATGTGTCTCCCAGGCCTGTCACTGGTGGTGTCCGCCCTTTTCCGCTGGCCATGTAGCGCTTCTATTCTTTTGTCTCCCAGGTCTGTCACTGGTGTGTCCTTGTCTATTGGCCATGAAGCACTTCTATTCACTTGTCTCCCAGGTCCGTCACTGCTGGTGCCATGTAGCATTTCTATTCATTGTCTTTCAGGTCTGTCACTGCTGGTGTCCGCCCTTGTCCGTTGGCTATGAAACATTTCTATTCATTTGTTTCCCAGGTCCGTTACTGCTGGTGTCCGCCCTTTTCCGTTGGCTATGTAGCATTTCTATTCATTTGTCTCCCAGTTGTGTCACTGCTGGTGTCCGCCTTTTCCGCAGGCAATGCAGCATTTCTATTCATTTGTTTCCCAGGTCTGTCACTGCTGTGTCCGCCCTTTTCCGTCGGCCATGCATCAGTCTCCCAGGTCTGTCACTGTTGGTGTCCGCCCTTTTCCGCTGGCAACGCAACATTTCTATTCATTTGTTTTCCAGGTCTGTCACTGGTGGTGTCCACCCTTTTCCGCTGGCCATGCAGCATTTCTATTCATTTGGTTCCCGGGTCTGTCACTGTGCTGCCGCCCTTTTCCGCTGGCCATGTAGCATTTCTATTCATTTGTCTCCCATGCGACTTCTGTCTTTTTGTCTTTCAGGTTTGGTGCCTGCACTGCTGTTTTCTGCCGCGTGACTGTCTCCGGGAGTGCATTCCTGCCACACTGTGTATGTGTAACTCTCTCAGCTTTTTTTTCCTTTTCGGGTAAGCGTTCCATGAATGACCGGATTGGATTTTGTGACAGTCTCAGGGCATGCGTCAGGCACCAAAAATCAATTTCATGTCACATCCTTCGCTCCTCATGCTTTTATTTCTCAGCTCCTTGCTGATTGAGCAGCATGGACGTCGCAAGCTCTAGTTTCGATTTTGAAAGCGCAAACTGTTTGGGGTCTGCGGTGGTGTAATTTGTCTCCCAGTTCTTTTCATTTGTCTCCCAGGCTGGGTGCTTGT